TAAGATCCCCATATATCCCATATTTCTGCTTAAGGGGGACTATAGCCCTAAGCCCTATTATAAGCCCTAAACCCTAAATCCTTTCCTATAGTAGTTTCCATTTTCTTTTCCATCACCCCTATATAACCCCAATATATACCCTAGAATCCCTATAAAACCCCTATATATCCCTATAGTTTCCATTATCCCAGAACCCAGAATTCAGAATCCTAAGCCTTTGAGGTCCCGAACTTGAGCGAGCAAGGCATGAACTGTAGGGTTTAGGAGTTTAGGGGTTTGGGGTTTAGGGGTTTGGGGTTTAGGGTTGGGGTTGAGGGTTTAGGATTTAGCGATTTTGGGTTTAGGGATTTAGGATTTAGGGATTTCGGGTTCAGGTTGGGGGAGTTTATGCAGGGGGAGGGCTTGGTTTGAGGGAGGGGAAGGTTTGTGGTGTGTGTGTGTGTATATGGATATATGGGTGGTTGTCAAAATTATGGTCTCTTTTTGGGTACCCTAAATATTAGGTGCCGTACGATAAGAAGGATCGATTAGGATTTGAGGTTGAGGGGTGCAGGAATACAGTGTAGGGTTTGGGTGTGTAAGTTTTCAGCATTTAAAGTTTGAGCGTAGGGCCAAAGAGAGTTAGAAGAGTTAAGCGATTGTGGCGCAGGGTTTAAGGATCAAGGTTTCAAGTTTCCATTCTTCGGGTCAGGTCTAGAGCCGATGTCTGAGGATGTATGTAGGGCTCAGGGATTTGGGTCTAGGGTTTAAGCCAATGAGCCTTTTTCATAGGCTTGGGAGAGAGTTGTAGGGGTTAGAGAGGGGCATATGTAGAGGCCACTCAAGATTGTCAGTCCCCTTTTGAAAGTGTCTGCGTTAACCCTAAACCTTAAACCCTAAACTTATGCGCGAGTTCTTGCATGTACCTTGGTTTAGGCCCTTGCCCACTAGTAGTGGTGTACTACGAATATATGGGACTCTAGCATGATTATCCTGATCCCTTTCGGTGACTACTAGTGGGTGGCGGCAAATTAAGGGCGACGTGTAAGCATGTCATCACGCGAGGCTGGGAAGAAGGATCTCTCCCATGTTATTCTCGTAAATTGCCCTAAATCCAGAAGAAGTGCCCATAAAGTGTCCATACCCCTGAACCCTAAAACGCCCTGAGCCGTAGACTCAAGCCTTGAGTCCGCCGAGTGCTGCAGGCTATGCGAACCACTTCCGAAAGCTTCAACAGCAGCTGGCCGTCGCCGAAAAGCAGCTCAAGGAAAGACGTGGGGCCTAGAAGCCTGTATAATTACCTGAACCCCCGAAAGGTCGTAGCATAACGGCTTTTTATTGATTACATTTATAGACTTTAGGCTTTATTTGACCTGTTTGAAAGATCCAGACAGTCGTCGTCACCACCGCCGTTGGAGTAGGAGGAGGAGGAGGAGTATTTGTAGTAGTAGCAGCAATAGAAATTGTAATAGGAAAAGAAGAAGCAAGAGTAAGAGCAAGAGTAATTGTAATCGTAGTAGTAATAGTAGATGGTAATAGCGAAAATATAGCTGTAATAGTAAATAGTAAGCAGTAAATAGTAAGCAGCAAACATGGCAACTAGTAAGTAGTAAGCGGAAGTAATAGTAGCAGTATCAAGCAGCTGTCGCAGTAGCAGTAGAAGTAGTTGTCGTCCGCATCATCCTTGTCGTCGAAGGTTTAGGATGTATGGGCTCGGGGTAGAAGCCTGACGAAATGCATTGTTGTCCCCACATCTTAGGTAGCATTATGGACATAGTACCCCAACAGCTTGTTCTGAGTATTTAAGCCTTAAACCCCAAGCTCCAAACACCAAACCCTGAATACTAGCTTCAATTTTCTCTTCCGTTGTCCCTATGTGCCCTTATATAATCCTCTTATACCCGTTAAGGACTTTAGGAACCCCCAGCCTTAAACTGTTGTTGCAGCGCCCCCTGGAGGATGCTGAGGAGCGGGAATTATCATTGAAGAGTAGGCTGCAAAGCCAAGATAACTCCGCGCCGCGCCGAATGGGGGTTTAGGGTTTGGCGCTTCGGGTTAAGGGTTTAGGGTTTAGGCCTTTGGGTGTAGGGCTTCGGGTCTAGCGATTACGGTTGAGGGTAGCGATCATACCCCCAAAGAATAATCAAATGGCAAAGAACATGAATAATGAAATGCAAGCTGGGATTATACGTGGATTTTGGTAGCCCCAACTCCTAGAGAAGGGATTTTTGAAAGTCATATCATTGTCATTATCATAGGGTCCTGATTTTGGGGTCAAGCTCCCGGAAGGAGGACAACTACCCCAAAACTTTACGCCCTAAGTGTTAAAACCCTAAGCCCCAAATAAACCGTGTCGTAGTGGGTAACACCAAGGTCATGGTGGTTACCATTCCACTGACACTTCCTGAGTGCATGAACCGGTGCTATTCCTGCACGTCATGTTCAAAGGCTGGTCCTGAACATAGGATCAATATAGATCGTGTGCTGAAGTGACAGCTTCTGTATAAACACTTGCAGGAAGAAGATGCTTGCACTTTCCTTCCTGTCTGAAGCACCACTGCTTGCAAGAATCCCAGAAAGCTCCCAAAGGGAGACGGGTAATGAACGCAAGTGACTCGGAACCTTGCGATTGTTCCGGGTTCGGCAAAGCTCTGCTCGGAAACAGCGTCCATACATTGCAGCAGTCTCCTGTGGATGATCCTTAGGTTGCAGTGGGTGAGCTGGAAAGGCAATGATTCTGAAGCCCGTTGCTGCACTCTGTTGACGAAGAAAATTTTTGTGGTCCAAAACCTTCCTGGAAAGCGCTCCCCACACGTCGGTTCGGAGAACAGTCGCAGGGGCCGCGAGCTTACGCTAAGCTCACGTTGCCGCTGAAGCCCCATACATCCCAAATAGAACGCCAAATACGCCTATATACTCCTGCATGACTCGACATAATCTATATATATATATATGTATGTCCCCTATAGAGAAGCCTATTTTACGTTATAGATTACGCAACTTAGAAGTGGAACCCCAACAGCGCTCCTGAGGCAATGATGCAAGTTTGCAGGGCGAGGAGTGCGAATCTGTGCCGCTTAGCCACTTCCCGCTGCTTCTCCCTGTCTACCGGTCCTGCTACCGGCCCGCTTTCAGGAGCGAGCAACGCGTTAGTTAGATGTTAGATGCGTGATAGGGTGCCGAAAAAGCAATCGAAACTGCTACATTTAGGGGTTGGCGTTTAATGTTTATATTCAAATACCAGTATAGTGCCGGCCCTTTCGGGTCCCTGCTCTTACGGTCGGTTTGAAGGTTGAATTCACCATCGCAGAAACAGTAGTTTTCGTAGGGTGAATATTCAGTGGATACAGTAATCTTTCGCCTCATGTTTGGAATTGCGGCAGTAGTGAGAATGTTTCAATGTTTATTCCCGAACATATTACATTACAATTACTTCTGCGGTCCTTCCACAACTTGCCCAAAATTTTGGAACACCCCCATGTCAAAGTGCCTCCTGTTCGATTTATCCTCGCCTCCGGAGGACTGCGAATTTTGGACCTGTCGCGAATCCTCGCAGGTGCCGTGTATGAAAATCCTGAGCTCAGTCAATCTTTCCGTTACTCCTAGTTTGGATACGGGAGGGTGTACATGGGTGATCTTGTCCAAATTTTATTTGACATTTTCGAAATGATCCAGATATAGTGCTGTGAGACATTGCGGGACATGGCATTAACATCAGCTTTTCCTGCATCATCCGCAACTCATGTAAGATCATAGGTTCATTCATGCCGTAGTTTTGCAAAACAGCCTCTATGTAATCCTAAAGGGCAGCCGCAAGATCTTTTTTGTGAGTCCGCACATCCCTAGGTCCCTAAGCCCTAATGGCACCATGTTTTGAGGGGTTCCATTGTACCAGTGCCATTATGGCTGGTCTCACTTTGTTTGAGTAGCTCCTTTCAGGGAGTTTTTCGAAATGGCCCCTACAGAATATCATGGAGGGACCCTCAGGGCCCACTCGTAATTCTCTGCGTCCCCCTAAACCCCCCTGCACCCCCCCCACATCCCCCCAGATTCTAAACCCTAAGCCCAAAGCCGCTCCTTTGTCAGGCCCATCTGCCACGATGCTGATGGCTGACATGGGCGCGGAAGTTATCAAGGTGGAAGCACCAAAGTCCGGTGATGACACCCGACGTTCCTGACTAATTAAGAGGGGTAAGTGAGAAAGCAGGGCTGCCATCATACTATAGTAGTTTCCATTTTCTTTTCCCAATATAACCCCAAGAAATACCCATATACCCTAAACCCCAAGTCCTGAACCCTAAAGAGAAGGCTCAGACGGGGCAGCCTTCAGACATCAGGTCTCTGCCGGCCTCCCTGAGCCCTCTCACGGGTGGTTGTCAAAATTATGGTCCCTTTTTGGATCCCCATTATAATACGGCACCTGAATCTAGGGTACCCAAAAAGGGACCATGATTTTTCACAACCATCCTCATGAGGTTACGCGCCACCCTTCCTGCAGAAGGGACCTGGCGAGGATTCGGACGTGGCGGCCTATTTCTCGAGCTGCAACAGGAACAAGTACAGCGTAGCTGTCGACTTCAAGACCAAGGAGGGGGCCGTGTCAACACTCCTTGGAGTTTCCAAGATGTTTTCACCTTGAAGTAAGGCAAGCATAGGAAGGCAGACCACATTTCCTATGCACCGAGGAGGGTCAGGATGTGGTCAAGCACCTCCTGCACAACAGCGACATCCTCATCGAGAATTTTAAGGCTGGAGGCCTTGCAAAGTACCTCGGCAGTGCCTGCTGTAGAGAGGCCGAATAGTATCGTTCTTACTACTATTGTTCAGAGTATTACCATTACCAGTATTCTTGTTATTATTATCAGGCCGGGGTCGGCGGATTGTTAATTGCATTTTAGGTTGGGCCCCCACCCACTAATAGTGACCACAAGAGGTAATGGTAATTATATTAGGGCCTTTATACATTTCTAGTATACCACTATTCGTGGGTAGGGGCCCCACCCAAATTGTATTACCCGTTTATTCAATTGAGCCCAGGAGGTTCCCTCTTTACCGAAACAGGGCCAAGTTGTAATCAGTGTTGGCATTCTAAGAGCGTTGCATATCAGACCCTGTTGTTTTTTGAGTGGTATGCGGACGTGCGGGACCTTTATAGTCGGATCCCCCCCATGATGCAGGTTGCATCCTGAACTGGATCCTACTGGGGTGCATTACTTGGACACACATTTCTGGACGGGACCTTCATCTTGCAAGACATCGTACTCTCCCAAAATAGGGGAACCCCAATACAGACCCAAGACACTATAGTCCTTATTAGGGGACCCCCAGGAATCCCTAATTTTGGGAAACCCTACAGCCTTGACGCTTACATCTCCAACCACAAATTCTGAGCACCCAACCCTACCCCAAACCCCTAAACCCTAAAAAAAGTAAGCCGTAAGCCTTAAGCCCTAGATCCTGAAGACCCAAACCTTAAGCCCCAGACAGCGGAGTGTCGGGCCGAGGTATGGTTTGGGGTTCGACCAGCTCAAAGACGACTTCCCCAACTTGATTCCTGGATCGGAGTTAAGGGCTTAGGCACTCGGTTGCTTGAGGGTTTAGGGTTTTGGGTTTAGGGTTTGGAGTTTCGGGTTTGGGGTTTAGGGCTCAGGGTTAGGGCTCTTGGCTTAGGGGTTTAGGGTTGAGGGTTTGGCGTTTAGGTTTTGGGGTTCAGGGTTTAGGGTTGGGGTTCACCTCTGACTTACAAACTGCTTGGATCTGGTGGTGTCGAAGTGTTTAAGAACTCTCCCATGACGGGTCCTCGGAATCATATGGGGGATTGTCAAAATTGTGGTCCCTTTTTGGGTCCCCTAAATTAGGCCCCGTATTAGGCCCTGTATTAAAATAGGGACCCAAAAAAGGACCATAATTTTGACAATCCCCCATATGAGCTAGAGTCTAAACTCCTTAAAGGGGATTATGTAGGAATTACAGAGGGAGTATCCAAGGGATGCTAGGTGTTCAGACTATAGCTCATATCAAGCATCCTGATGTTTCAGTCTCTCTTGCACAGAGCAGTGCTGCAACTTCTCCAGAATTGTACATGACGGATGGTTCAGATGAGTATCTATGATTTGTACATTGTACACGGTTCATGCAAAGCTTCTGGTATACCCCTCAAACAGGACTGCAAAGAGAACTAAAACATGACCTCACTGATGGCCACACCGCTCAAATTTGGTTTCAAGCCTGTACTGCAAAGGACCTATCCGAACGCTGTGCAGTTGTGAGGGTTTCGGCCATTTGTACTGATAGTGAGAATATTGTGCCGCAGATGAGCCCTTTAGCCCCGCGAAGGAGCACATTGTAAAGCTTGAAATGGCCAGTTTTCAAGCTCCATGTAGTTCTAAGGGAGTGTAGTATCTGTAGCCACAACGGAGCAGCCAACGCAAAAATGGCATAGTAGGATGCAAGAGGAATTGTGAATGGTAGCGGTACTAAGCTTTCCAGTACTTGTAGGCATAGCGCCTAAGCCAGGTTTAGCTACAATGTGCCAGGTGCTGTGCTCGATGCTCGATAGTTTGACAGCAATGCGGGCATGTGTTTGTAATTGCTTCCTAGCCCTGAACCGTGTGGACCAAGGATCTATTGCAGCATCACTGGTTTCGGACACTATGGACCTTACAGCAAGAGACCCGCTTATGACATGTTGATCCAGGCCCGAGTTGAGCCATAGTCCAAACTCGTTAAAGCGGGTTTCATAAGGGAGTTCATAGGGGACTACCCTAGGGCTCATTAAGCGGGATACTAGGAGTAGACTATAGCTCATTTGTGGTTTGGTTTCGTGTTCAGCTTCCAGGTTGGGGCTTTGCGGTTCAGCTAACTGGCAATCTTGGCTCAGGAGCATCCCACTAGCTGCCAAACCTGGACAGGAATGGGTTAGGGTTTAGGGTGTAGGGATGTTGATGGCAAATCGTATTATGATTGAGAGCATTTCTTGGGTACCCATGCTGATCAGATCTGCTGAGAGATTGAGACCAATGCCGCTGATGGGCTTTCAGGGGATCATAGGGGGATCATGATGGTCTGCTGGCTATTCTAAACCCCAGGCCCCCACCCCTCAACCATAGCTGTCTAAACTCTTCACGCCGACAGGGCAAACTCCTAAATCCTAAAGCCTGCATCCTAAAGACCTCAATCCTAAGCCCTCAAACCCTCAACCCTGAACCCCCAAACCCCGAAAACCTCAACCCTTAACCCTGAGCCCCTGAACCCCGAAGCGAACCCCAAAGCGAACCCCGAAGCGAACCCCGAACCCCGGGACCCTAGAGCCTCAAAGCAACCCTGACCTATTCAGCCCCAAGCCCATACACGCTTTACCCTAAACCTACTCCTAAACCCTACAGCCTAGACCCTAAACACCTTCACCCCAAACCCCAAACCAGTGTGGTTCCCATAATAAGGGGGAAACCCCGAGATGCTTGAATCCTTACTCTGGGGACCCCTAAAAAGGCACACAAAATTTTGGAAAATCCTTAAATCTTTGGAGGCGATGGGCGGCTCCATGAGTTTGACCGGAGAACCTGATGGCGCACCGATGAAGACGCTGGGGTTTAGGGTTCAAGCGATTTAGGGGTTTAGGAGTTCAGGGGTCTAGGGGTTCGGGACTTTCGGGGTTCAGGCGTTTCAGGGGTTCAGGTGTTCCGGGCGTTTGGGGGTTGAGGGTCTTGGGGGCTTCGGGGGCAAGGTGTAGATCTGGCAGCATTTTCGATTTTGTTCATCCGCATGTAAATGCCTAGCTGCATAGCTTTCCTCTAACACCTTTTCGAGAGTCCTTATTAACGCCATACATACTGATTCAGCTTGGCTTTTCCAAAGAGTTTCTGAATGTGGCTTAGGACAGGGCTATCTCTTTTCGACCTGACCGCAGGGCTCCATGGTGCCAGGCTCTCAGTTTCCCAGGGAAGAAGCATGGGACTTTTACGTGGAAAATCCCTCCTGCGTCGTCCCCTTGCATGGTGCAAATGGTCTGCGAATTCCCACATCGTTGCCGCCCAATATATCAGCAGCAGCAGGTAATACCGCAAGTGTTGCTGCTGATAGTGCCTTTCCGCTCCCGCTGCTGCTCCTCCTTACCACCAGCACCACCACCGCCGCCACCGCCGTTGCCGCTGCCAATGCCAGCCCTGCGCCAGCGCCGCCAGCGCCAGCGCCACTGCACTGCCACCGCCGCCACCGCCACCGCGCCACCGCCACCGCGGCACCGCCACCGCGGCACCGCCACCGCCACCGCCACGGCCACCACCTCCACTGCCGCCGCCGTTGTTGATGGTTTTCTTATGACTGCTAATCAGTCTTCTCGAGAACATCTCACGCGTGCTATGACTAGCGGGATCGCTCATGTCATTGCCATATTTACGGCCGAAACATGAGGTTATGCTCATGTCAATTTCATGTTTGCGGCAGAAAGATAAGGTGATTGGCATTTTGGCTGCGCTGCACAACAAGCACGTCACGGGATTGGGCCAGCATGTGGACATCTCCATGTTGGACGTGGCAGTGGCGCTCCTTGCAAATCAGGGCATGAATTACTTGGCAAAGAAGCAGCGGCAGAAGCGTGTGGGCAATAACCACCCCAACGTGGTGCCCTACCAAGTCATGCCAGCCAAGGATGGTTGCTCGACTTTAGCACGCCACGCGTTGTCTCATGGTTTGCTAGCCAATATGGGGATGTCTGAACGTAGTGATGAACCACTCTGACAAATACATTTGTTGCACTGCAACATAGGGCTTTCCATGAACAGGGGGCCCCGATGTAGACCGCTATAACCCTCATCATGTGTGCCTTCACAAGGAACCCCCGCAGGCTTTTGTTATAACCGATGCGCCCTGCCTAAGGTTATTTCATCCTCACGGCGTCCAACAATGATCAGTTCGAGCGCTTCTGCAAGGCGGACATGTCTCAAACAGCCCCTATACAATCCCTGACCTCTGCACCATTCAACAGTTCTTAATCCAATCACTTTTATTTTGCTACAGCACCAGGTGGCTGGCCGGATGGATCTCATGTCAAATGAGAAGTTCAACACCATGAAGGCCCGCGTGGTGCACAGAGATGTGGTCACTCCCACCTTGAACGAGATTACCTCTCAGCATCCGAAGCTGGGTTGTTCATAGCAAGCTAAGCTTATGCTATACGATATAGGATCCCCCAACATGGGTACCTCCTGCTTGTTATCTTAGATCCTAAGATCTAAGCCTCAATTCCAGTGGACCCAAACCCTAACCCTAACCCAGGAAGCTCTGGTGGTTGGAGCAGTTGGAGAAGGAGATGGTCGGATGTGCTCCGATTCTGCACCTGGACGAGGTCTTCGCTGATCCCCACGTCCCTTACTTCAACGTACTGGTGGTCAGTAGGAAATGAGGGAACATACACACACACACATATATATATATAGAGGGACACTATATGAATGATAGTTCCTCATTCTCTACTCACCACCAGTGAGTAAAAGCTTTTCCTCATAGAAGCCCGTAGCATGGGGTTCAAGTTCAGTGTACTCCCAACATGACCTGCGATCCTGCGTGGTTCTGCCAAGGTCCAGTCCCGCGACATGGAGATCCAGATGAATTTGCCAGGCTTCACTGAGCCAGTTTCACTCATCGGCTCGCCCATGAAGTTCTCGCGCACGAAGGCGACCCCTAAATAACCCCTGTAGAACCCCTATGTACCTATAGAAGCCCCATATTCTGTACCTATAGAAGCCCCATATTATGTACCTATAGAAGCCCCATATTATGTACCTATAGAAGCCACATATTATGTACCTATAGAAGCCCCATATTATGTACCTCTCTAAGCCCCATATTATGTACCTATAGAAGCCACATATTATGTACCTATATAAGCCACATTTTATGTACCTGTATATGAGCCCCACATACCTATATAACCCCCATATACCTATATAACCCCCATATACCTATGTAAGCCCCATATACCTATATAACCCCCAATAGTTGTAGAGGGAAAGGTGACGTCGCTACATGGGGCTAGAAGGAGTTCATACCAGTCCTGCTAGGACTATTTGAGCTCTAATCTAAACTCCTAAAGGGGGGTTATGTAGGGGATTATATAGAGCACCATGAAAGGGGGGTATTAAGGGGGATACTAGGAGTTTAGACTACAGCTCGTATGTCTGTAAGTCTTTGTGTTGAAATTATGATTCTCATTACTATGAAGTGGTCACAACGTGGGTCCATGTTTCAGATTTGTTGAGATGTCTGGGTTAAGCTATGCTTATGGTTGTGGCTGTGATGGTGGTGGCGGTAGCGGTGGCGGTGGTGGGCTCTTGGACTGGGAATCTTCATATCACTAGTGGAGTACACAATGTTGGATGTTGCGTTTACAGGGGTGCGTGTAAGACCGGGAGGTGTGAGGATAACGAACGGCAATCCTCGAAATCCTCTCAGGGATTGCCCGCAATGGCACCTTTTCTGAATGCCTTTGCATTCCTATATCCATAGCTCCTTCTCGTCCTAGAAGCCCAGGAAAGTACCCCATCGTGGATGCAGGCGGACTCCCCATACCAAAACAACCCTAGACCAAATCCCCGAAACACTACACTACACGCTGAAGAACCTAAACTCCCCACCCCGTAACCCCCTCCTAAATCTGCAAAGCTCCTGAAGCATTACAGCCCTAAACCCTAAAACTAAGCCTTAAACCAAGCCTACTGGGCAGGTGGATTATCGGCTTCCACCTCCGCGGGTGGGCGAGCACACAGAGCAAGTTCTGCTGGATTCAGGCCAGCCACGGCAGCCGCCAGTTTTGACAGGGCATAGTAGGGAAGGGGGTGAGCAAGCTATATGGAAATTCATGATTAGTGTAGGGAATTATACAGGGCCTATTGAAGGGATCCCTCATTCCCCACGAAGCACCAGGTAGTACGCAGTCAGGGGGATGCGAGTTGCGTGTTGAGGAAGGGTCTAGGGTTTACAGTTGGGTGAGGTAGGTGTGTTCAAGAGTTGTACTACAGCCTAGACCGGCTTGAATATGCTTACGAAAGCCTGAATCCTGGAGTCAGTGCCCACTCCATGATATTTTGAGGACGTCAGAGGATGGCTTCCAAAAATCCTGGAGCGCGTTTGTTGTTTCCAAAATTATGGTCCGCCCTGCATCTCAAGGGTCGTATTATAACAGGTCCACCATGTTTACAGCCCACCTTTTTCCTTGGACAGGCATGTCGCAAGACAGGATCGAGGACCTGCACGAGATCGGGGCGATCGACAACGCCAAGTTTGAGGTGCCGGGTGTCGCGCCCTCAGCTGAATTTCTATGTTACTAGTGTTATATCAGGTTCTATAGTGACATATGGGGTAAAAGGAACCGTATAGAGGTTCTGCAGGGATGTATAGGGATCCCTTGAAGGATGGACATCTTACTACACACTAGCCGTGAAAGTCAGAAAAGTATGTAGCTCTGATCAGCAGCAAAAGGCCTGAGCCTAAACCCTAAACCCTACATCCTACACCTGGGACCTGAATTCTAGACCCTACACCAGAAATCTTAAATCCTATACCTAAAAACCCTTGAGCCCTGGACCCTAAACCCATCCCCAAACTCAGTGGAAGCCCTAAACAGCCCCAAAATCCTCCATGTTACGCCCTAAAGCGATGTCAGGTGGTTCGACCCCTTGCCCGCAAGAAGCGCAGGATCGTTGAAGTCAGCGACACTCACCATGCCTATCAGTTCCAAGGCTGTGGTTGGGGCAAAGAATGGCTGAGGGGTGGATAGTACAAAGGGACCATTTTTAAGGGAGATATATACATATATAACTATTGTAGGCACATAAATACGCACGTATACGTATGTGCACATATATATATATACCTTGTGTATGCCGGGTTCAGGATTTAGGGCTCAGGATTTTGGTTTTCGGGTTCATGGCTTAGGAGTTGGGGTTGTGACTTATAGTCCCCCTTAAGTAGATAGAATATGGGGGTGTATGGGGATCTTATCGTAATATACCTTAAGCCATATTCTATCTACTAAAGGGCGACTATAGGTTTTGGGTTTGGGATGGGCTTTGCTCTAGAACTTGGGACACGTCTGATTCAGGTATAGGGCTTGTCACGATTTGGAACTCAAGGCTGAACTTACAGGTTCTTGGCAGGGAATAAGGGGATATGAATACAATATATTCCCTCATTCCCTACTGACCCTAAACCCTAAACCCTATATATGGTCACGCCCCGGCGGGCTCCCCCCCCCCTCCCCC